TTTCAGCCCAGACCTTATTTTCTCTAGTTGTGGTTGTTCTTAGAGTCTTCCCTGAGAATGGTTCAGCCCCGATTCTCTGTCTCTAGAAACTTACTTCCACTTCTCTTCTGTTTATTGTGGAGTTTACTGGCACCTGCAAAAGTGCCTTTTATATTCCTCCTGGTACAGTAACAAACAAGTTGCCATGGCTTATTTCCAGTTACAGTAAAAACTTTTATCTTTCTGGAAAATAATTAATTCAGACATTTTAGAAAGTCAGGACTTACAAATCTTAATAGTTATCCAAGATGGTAGACTTTGTTTTCTTTATAGTTAGTTATATATCAACAGGGTCCTGCCTGCAATGGAGGGAACATTAATACTTCTCAATGTTAAAGTATATTAAGAAGTTAAATGTTTAAACAGAGTTGTTGTGGTACTAACAATGTTCTGTTAAAATAGTTTAGAGGGAGGGACAGGTGTACATTTGAGTGGTATGGTATTAAGAACGGATGCTGTTTTTCAGAGTATTTTCTATAGGACAAACTTGTGCAGCAGAGTGTGTTATTCATGTATGGAGTTGTAGTGATTAACTTCATGACAGTAGAGGTACCATTGTCATACTGAATCCACAGCCTTGAGAAGGTGTTGTGGAGCTGCATTGCCAAGGGATGAATATCATGAAAACTGTGTCTTGACTAACACAGCCTGTCCAGAGCTATTCTGTGTACATACAATACTTAAGTTGAAGCTCACTGCTTTCCTTGCTATACTGATACCACTCTGTGGGCAAGTGCAAAGTGAGAAGCATCCCTGTGATTCTGACTCTTCTCTGCCCTTTTTCACTTACAGAAAGCAGAAATTTATGAGAGAGCAGAGAACACGCAGACTTCTTTTGTAGAAAATCATTGCTTAGCTAGGCAAGAGGTATGGGAAAGGGGAAAGATGGTTTCCTTCTCTGCACACAGCTGACAAGGGCCCCCATCATTTGGCTCTGAGAGCAGAATTTGTTTGCATCTTCAAGCAGAGCAGGCTGCATGTTGCCAAGATCCAAGATTGGATGACAGCAGTCATTTGGGAGCATGACTTTCCACAGTGGAGAAGGAAAAGGCAGCTGTTGAAAGTGGAGTGCAGCAGGAAGATAGAGTTTCTGGTTTATACTGAGCTACTGGCCGTCAGGTCCATCAGTCCCTAGACCGAATTTATGGACTCCTGAAAGAGATTATTCTGTTTTATTTAAAAACAATTAGGTGGGAAGTACATACAGGGAACATCATATTAACATTGAAGGAACAGAGTATGGAGAAAAGCAAGACAATATTTAATTGGCAGATTGTTTCCGTCTCATCATGCTCCAAATGTAAAACCCTCAGAACCTTTTAAAGTCACTTACAGAGGAAATCACAGCTCATATGCACACAAATTCAAGGTTGTAATGACTATAAACAGACAGAATAAGCCATTTCCTGGAACAGGCCTTGAACTCAGCGGGCACAACTACACGAGACGCTACTGTGCAGTGATTATGACAGGTTTATTTAGTACTTGTATAATCAAGTTCTAAATAAATGTGCATAGGCAGACAAGGTTCTTTGGGTGAATCTGATATGTTTTATTAGACCAACTTAAATAGTTGGAAAACACTTACTAAGCTTTCAGGTTCAAAAACCCTTTGTCAGGCTAAGGAAGTTTCTGAAGTTGGTGTGTGCTCTTCCTGGATGGAATGAAAAGTAAAGAAGCTAGAGGCTGGTCTGGTATGCATACAAGACAGGTAGTCAGTGAAAATGTAGATTGAGGAGTCAATGGGTGAGAGACCGGGTGGGGGCGGGGAGAGAGAGAGAAGGGGGATGAATAGTGGAGAGATACCTGGGGAGTCCGATGTCAGGCAGGTTATAATGTGTCATAAATCCAATGTCTGTATTTATATAGACATTTATAAAAGGCTGTCACCCAACAAGGACACTCCTCCAGAGAGAGAGAGTGTATGTTTGAAAGAGCCACCCGGATAACACATGAAGAACTGCTGCAGTACAGAAGAAAACCCCCCACAAATCGCACACCGCTGGTTATGACATATCACCCCTCCCTCCAATCCATACAGAAAATCCTCAAACAATTGCAAGCCATACTAGAAAGAGACCCTATTCTTAAAAAGATCTTCCCAGAGCCACCCATCCTAGCCTTCAAACAAGCACCGAACCTCACTAACCTCATCACCAGAAGCAAACTTCCTCAAGCCCAGAACACACCTAAAGGATCCAGACCATGCCATGACAAGAAATGTAAAACTTGCCAACACATCTCTACCACTCCCACAATTACTACACCCCACAAAAGAGTCATCAGCATTCCTAGATCTTACAGCTGCACCTCCAGAAATGTAATATATCTCATCCAATGCACCAAATGCCCTGATGGAAAATATGTAGGAGAGACCAAACAACAACTGTGCACCAGAATGAATGCACACCGGAAATCTATCAAAGACAGGAATACCCAATTACCTGTGGGGGCACATCTCTTTCCAATCTCTGAGTCCTGATCCTCAAAGGAAACTTACAAAACACTTCCCAGAGACGAGCCTATGAACTCCACTTCATCAACCTCCTGGATACTAAAAATCATGGACAAAATATAGACATTGGATTTATGACACATTATAACCATTATTACGTTTTGGCCACTTACATTGAGAGAAGTGGATAGGATGCTGCCATGAGATTAAGAGGACCCTAGGCTTCATTCCTGGTTCTGCCATAGTCTTTCTGGATTTCCATAATGTACCCTGTGCCTCAGTTCCACATTAGAATGGAAATAGCATTTCACCAAGTGTCTTTGAAGCAGAGAAGATGAAACCATTAGGGATGGTGAGTCACTGTAGATGCTAGGGGGATGAGAGAGAGAAAGCACCCACACACACGTATACAAGCAAGATTGCAACTGTTTCAACAATCTTTCTCCTGTTGCTCAGCTTTATTTGGGAAGGACAGATGTATTTTCCAATAAGCACACATTTTTCAATTTTTTTTTATATATATTCCCATACATATCTGAGGCTGCTTACAGACATTTAAAAACAAAACAAAAAAGCATGCTTTACTGGAAGAAGCAGCACATTAATTTGACCCAGTTTCACAGCGTCTGTATAGATCAAGCACTTCAGCAGGGCTTTTTGGTGCTTTTATTTAAAGCTGATTTAATCATCTATTAGATAAAAGCACTAAGAAAGCCCCATTAAAACACCAGCTCTATACAGAAGTTGGGTGAACCCTGTCAACTGGTGCCTTTTCTGACTGTGTGCTAGGCTCAGTGTGGGAATGCACCTCATTTAAAGTAGAACACTGTTTTTGGGCAGGGAGGGAGCTGTTTAATGTCTGCAAGCAGCCTAAATGTCTTGACATTATCAGTATTTGTTATAAAAGTTGTTTCATTTGCAGACATTAAATAGCTGGTCAAGGCGGACTCCTTCCTCTGCTGCTACTCTAGTTGTGAAATTCAGCTAAAATTCACTTTTTTTTTTTTTTTTTTTGTAGTGTTTAGCACTAAAAAGAATAAAAGAAAAGAAATGGAAAATATCACTAATTTCTGCGAGCTATTATTTCAAGGACATCTTTCCCTTTTGGAAGCTAAGTACTTTCCATGCCTCTAATTCCCATAAAGGGAGAGTAGGGGATAGCTATGATAGGAAAGTCGATAACTTGCTAGGCGTTGATGAGACTGTGTTTCTGGGTGGGTGGCTAGGAGAGGACAGAGAGCATCTGCTCTTCATGTTTAACTAGGCTCAGGGTTGAATCCTCTGGAATTTTCTAATCCCTGTGCTCCTTCCAGGAAGTTGTCACTCCCACACCACTGAAGGGATGATGTGGAGGAAATATGCATGGCAGAACCTTGAAGACTTCACTGAGTCAAATTTCCTCCCAGTAAAGCATCCCATTGTTTGTATCTTTGTTCTGTCCTTGCTCAGTTTCCTATCTGTAGCAGCCACACCTCTGCTTTATAGCACCAGCACTGCTGACTGTCAATTCTTCTGAGTACAAAGTTTATAGAATAAGGAATTTGACCTCCCTGCATGAAGGAAGGCGCAGACATTCCAGCACTGGCACTGGCTAGAATATGTATTAAAATAGTACAGGGGAGTGTCTGTCTTTTACACTTTTGAAATGCACTGGATTTCTGATCCTTATTATGTGCTTGTGTTCTATTTGGGTAAATGCTGCACAGAAACATACAGGCAAAGGTATCACCTTTGTATTTAAGAGAGAAAAAGACACAAGTTAAATTCAGTGGAAGAGAAATGACAGGAAGATCATACAGGTCACCATCATTGGTAAGAGTCATTATAAACCTTTTGGCTAGTCTGTAAGTCTGCTCACAACTGGATGCTCAGAAGTTAGGAATGATTTAGGGTTTCCTAGGTCATTCCATGAGGCTAATGGAAGAGAAGCAGACTACATCAAAGATATGGAGGCTTTCTTTGTCTAAGGGAACAGAGTTAACTATTTGACCACCTTTCTCATTCTTTCTACCTTTTTCCCTGCTACTTTTTCCCTTTTATTTTTTGCATTTTAGATTTTGTGCTTATGCTATACTGTAGAATGGAATAATATGGTAGAAATATTGAGTTGACTTAAGGGCCAAACATTCAACATACAGCTTCTGCCCTTATATATGAAAGCCTTCATATGCAATTGATTGTATGTCTAATATAGATAGTGAGTACAATGGCTGTTTGGATATGTAAGATGTTGTCCCTCATTCTGGATGGCGTGTGTAAAAATGTTTGTCTGAATCAGGATAACTAGCTTGCACATCCTCTCTTAAGTCTGCAAAGGAAGTGGGGACAGGGAGATGGGAGGTGGTCTGTTTGTGTGCAGAAAGCTGTCTGGAGACAGATGCATCATGGTAAGAGGTGAAAGAGTGCTGGGATAATAACACTGCCAGAAGACGTTTGCTTATTTGATTTCTTCCAGTCACCAGTCTTTTATTCAAGTCTGTTTAATTTAAATTTGTGATACCTTTAGGAAAAAAATTTTGTCAGGAAGAATGAAACTGAGAACCCACTGGCTGATTCCTCCCCACCCGATGGTCTTATTTCATCAGCTGCATGCACAGAGGGATGAGGTACGCTGAATCTTTCTCCAGTGTAGACTGAGCTGTACTACTGTCTGATTTGTTGCAACAAGTTGTTTTAGTTTTGTGTGCATGCATGTGTGCACACACATGGAGCAGCCTGGTAGGTTGTATTTGCAATACATCTGTCTACTTATGCTCAAAAAGAGCTTTCTCTTGATTTTCTGTAACAGGAAATGCATGCAAGTGGAGTTTTATTTGAAACATTGCATACAACTACATAAAAAAAAAAACAACAACAAAAAAAAAACCATATCACACAGCCATTGGCATGTGGCACACTTATTGGTGGTTAATATGGCCCTGATAACAGAAGGTACTTACATGTATTTCTAATGTTAAGCATATCAGTAAGACTTGAGCTCATGTTCACAATTAGAGCCTATGTTCAGAACTGATACATTTTTAATATAAAAACACAGGCTTTCCTGGCAAACATTTGCTTCATAAGAAGAGACATTTTGTATAGCTCTGTAAAAATGACATTAATTATAAAATATGTGTTTAGAATCAGCAAGCAGACAGATCTGTGTCTATTACTCCATTACCTGTACCTTCCTGACACATTAAAAATTAAAATCTCAGCTCTGCCAGCCATTGTCTACCACTTCCTGTTCCATTGCATATGCTTAAAACAAGTCTCTGGGTTTATGTAGCAACCCAAACTTAATTGCAAGTTAGATGCCTAAATAAATGAAATGCAATAGCTGCAGCTCCCTGAGGTTATCTAGAGAATCCCAACCCTTAAGGAAGGAAGGAAAAAAACAGTTTGAAGTGGATTCATGCTAGAAGCCCTAGACATATATTATAACAACATATTAAAAGCAAACAGTTGTAATCAATTTTTCCTGCAGTGAGCGTAAGTTTATACTATATGTGCAGCCTTGCCTTCTCTTAGCACCTCAGATCATGTCCAGACATAAGTTACCCTGGTTTAACTGAAATATATTTAAAAGCTAATATATCTAAAGTGGTACAAAAATCTATTATGAAATGGTCTTACTTGGATACAACCCAGATTTAAATAATTTAGTCAATTTCATGTTAAATTGAGCTACCTGGATATGACAAGTCTCTAGCACAGGGATAACACTTTGTCTTGTATTTTCTCCAGTGTTTTGTTTAATTTTTAGTGGACAGCTGGTAGCGAATGTGTGCGCACACAGGAGTATATATGCTTAGATCCATTGATACCTCAATGATCCATCAGTTAAATAAGCTCACTGTCTTAAAAAAAAGCATGCATTCATATATTTTATGATTTGGAAGCTATCAGTCCTGAAAAATCATGTTAGTTTCCCCTAAACTGTTATTAATTTAAATTTGAAATGTGATTATTTTGTGTTATCTTCAAATGTATTTGAATGCAGCTTGTAATGCTATGATAGGTGGGAAGAGATTGGTTATCACTTCGCCACCAACAATTTTGACAGGCTGCTAAACCACAGTCAGTCTCCTCTTTCACTTCAACTTTCTTGACTTCAGCCATTTTGCCAAAGCAAATATTGCCAGTCAACACTGAGACTGAGGATACTCTTTTATTTTGAGGCTAATAGCTTAAAAACTTAAGTTAGATTAATTTGTTGAGTCATTAACCCAATTTATTATATATACAGTTTATTTTATATTTGGATTAGTTATTCTGGAGAATTTACTGTGTGCATCTAAATGGCAGCCTTCTAGCCATGATAGTGGTATTTTTGCACTTAAGCACATGTAGCAATTTCCCTTGCAGTATGGATGCTTAAACATGCATGTATAAACTGAGCCTGTTCAGTAAATTACACTGTGGCTCGGCAGCTACACAGCTTTGTAGTATGCCCATGCCTGCACCTAAGTCCCAAAAATGAAGCCAGCCAGAAATTCACAACTAACAGAGAGATGAGAAATAGGGAGGACCTCTCAGGTTTTAGCCCTAATAGCTGAGTGCTGCCTTAGGGCAACTTCCCAGGAAGCCAGACCAGGTTGTTGGCCTCCCTTACCCAGAGGGGTTTGAACCGGTGTGTCTCCAGCACAATGTTCCAACCACCATGTCAGCTTAGAGCATGTGTCGATGAAACAGGGGCCCTAAATTAAAGCGGTGGATTTTAAAAAACACCACTTCAATTTAGGGCTGATTAAACCCCCATGTTGTGCAAACATCCTGCTGACTTACCTGGCTTTCCAGCGGGGAGGGAAGGGCAAGCTGCCAGCGGACAGAGCAGTCCCTGGGCTGCAGGGGGTAGCTGGTGCTTCCCTCCACAGCAGGTGTGCCCCCCCCAGCAGCACCCACCCAGAGGCACCTGGCTTGCATAGTCCCGGGGGACACTGCAGCTGTGGAGGGAAGCACCAGTCCCACCTGCAGAGCAGGCAGGCAGGCAGGTTCCAGGGGAGAAAGAAGAAGAGGGGAAAAAAAAAAAAAAGATCAGACTCTCTGCTTTTCTTGGGCAGAGCTGCTTTCCTGGACTGCTGTCAGGCTGGCTGCCTGCAGGGTTTCCTTGCTAAACTAAAACTCCTCAAAGGATTTTTAGTTTGAGCCCCAAGTCATTTAAGGCACATTATGCTGCCAAATTTCCTACAGCGACTGGAATTAATGAGCGATATGCCGCCGAGGCGTGCAAACACTGAAACCATTAAAGCAGTGCAAAAGCATTTAGCCCACTTTAAAGTGTTGTGTAAACATGCCTCTTGTTTTGTCTACACATGGCCTTAGTGCTCTCTCCAGCTCACGTTTTGAAACTACCCCCAAGTGCCAAGAGAGGGAGATAGGTGTGGCTAGGAAAAAGAGAACAAGATAGAGAGTGTGTACCTCAGCAAGATCAATGCTCATTTTTACCCTGGAGCCTTGTTTCCAATGAGGCAGTAACTTCCTTATCCTATTCTATCTGTTTTATCTAATAACTATTAAAATTGAGGGGCAATGGCTCAGCTTGAAAAGGAGTGATTGGAGAGGAGTCTGGAAATGCCTGATCTGTGCTGTAGTGGTTAGAGTGCTGTGCTGGGAAACTGGATGGATCCACAGTTCAAAATCTCTCTTGACAAGGGGGGTACACCAGCCACTCATCACTTGATGGGAGGATCCTTGTTGTGGGAGGATCCTTTTTGTGTCTTACTGTATTTCCCTTGCACTATCCCTTTAAGGCCAAAGCCTTTGTTTTCAGCACTGCAGGGTTCTATTTATTTTGTGGCAGTTTTGCAGCACTGGGGACTCCGTTTTCCCTGCCACCAGGAGCCAGGGCACATATTTTTGGTTCCTCTCACTCACCAGGACTGTGCTGGGTCAAGGTCAGGGACAGAGCAAGTATAAGTCTTGCATACATACTAGGGCAACTGTTAAGATCCACCCTGGATATGATTCCATAGAGTTATATTAATAAATGCTTGTTAGTTCAACACAGGAGTGTCCAAAGTGTTGTTGCTGAACTCACAACATATCATCTGTCAACGAGGACAGGATTGCTGGCTAAAAACACCCCTAGATGGTGAGGACAGCATTCTGAGACCAGGCTGTGTTTTTGTGAGGGAAGGTTGGGGGTTTTTTGTCTTGTTTGTTTTGTTTTGTTTTTCTCTCTATTATGGATGATGTTAGTTAAGATGGCTATATTGGGTCACATAGCAGAATCTGATGTGAGCCAGCTGGCTTCTTAGGACTCTTATGCTGAAACACTATCCTATTACTTGGAAGCCAACAAAGTGGGAAACCCAGAACAAAAGCATGCGATCCTCCTGACAGTCTGTGGTGCCAAAACATTTGCCATTGTTTGTTCCCTCACACCACCTGCCTTACCAAACACTAAGTCTTATGCTGAACTAAGTACTCTGCTAAAGACATATTTTTGCTCAAGGCCATCTGTTACCCTGCAGAGATTTCATTTTTTTTAAATAGGACCAAAAGGCCAATGAAGGCATAACAAATTACCTGGCTGAGCTCTGTCACCTTGCAGAATTTTGTGAGTTCGGTGATCTCCTGGGTGGCCTGCTTCATGACTGTCTTATCTGTGGGGTTCAAGATGAAACAATCCAATGTCACCTGCTCTTTAACCAAATTTGACTTTGGCTACTGCACAAGAAAAAGCCTTGGCAGCTGAAGCAGCATCCTGTAACATGAGAGAAATTCGCTAAGTGTCCTTCAGCAACGTTCACATACTCCAAAAAGGTCAAGAATGAGATCATCACCAGAAGATTCAGCAGATTATACCCTCACCAACAGCACCACGTAAGCCAATTAATCTACAGACATGTTTGAGTTGTGGTGGCCAACATAGACGAAGGGAGGGCAGGTTTAGGAATGCAGAATGTCATGCCTGCAAGAAGAAAGGCCACATAGAGAGGATTTGCCACTCAAAGGCCAATTATGGGAGACAAAAAGACTGGCAAATGTATTCATTCCTAAACCACTCAGAGGTTAGAGTCCTCCCCACAAGGTGAGGTACAAAAACTATATTTGTTTAAAAATGTTGGTGTTGTTGGACTTCAAGGTTCTGAGATGATTGCAACTGTAGTAATAAATGGACAGAAGTGCAAAGTGGAAGTGGACTCTGGTTCAGGAATATCCATCATAGATGAAAACGCCTTCTTCCAGTTGTTTCAGCACCCTCTCCCCAAGTTATTGAAACCTGAGTGTCGCCTGCATGATTACAATAGAGAGATTGTGGAAACTTTGGGCAGCTGCAGTGTAGATGTCCAGTATGAATCTGTTAGACAGCATCTACCCCTCATTGTCACTAAGGGTTTCCGCAAAAGCCTTCTGGGAAGAAATTGGTTCTCACTAGGGGTGTGCAAAGTGGGCTGTATTTGATTTGGATTCAGATTCAGCCTGATTCAGGGTGTTACACAAATTGCCAATTGCTCAAATCATGAGCGAGACTTTATAAAGGGGGATAAGGCAAGGTGCTGCATTTATTGATTACATATGCTAGACACAGAGGTTCGGGCACACCCTTCATACAAACACACATAAATCATCATACACATCATTACACACAGGTATACACATACACAAAACAACCATT